TTGTACAATATAAATCTATAAAAAAAATCATACACATAGATATACGTCAATAACGTCAATAACTATATTTAATTATTTATATACATATTATGTAACTTTTTCCGCCACGTAGGAACTTATATATGTCCATGTAAAAATAAGGAATCTAAAATATAAGTAGCGCAATTGGTGTACTGACCTAAAGTACAAATATTGTTTTAGACGCAACTGGTCCATGCCCAGCATAACTTATTAAAATGGCTCTATTGTATTGAATCGTATTTATTAATAATATTGTTCAGAGTCATGTATTAAAAATATTAAAAAAAATCATATATCAAAGTTGAAATATAGTCATTATCATTACGATAGTTCTCCATATTATGTCATATCTTAGATACTTCCGCGTTATAATTCTGCCGTTACAGACATGCACAGTGTACACCAGTTCAAAATATTTTTAAAATATCAGATTTTTAACTTAGAGTTTTTGAAGTTGTACAAGTACATCTCTAAATACTTCTACTATCGTGCTGATATATTTTAGAAAAAATTCGACTGCATATATACAATTATATATACTGAATAGTGCGTGTGTGGGCCGGGAACGGACAATGATAGGCCGTGCGCCCGGTTACCAAAATACTTCGCGCTTAACTATACTAACACACCGACCGACCTTTGTAAATTTGTGTATATGTGTATAGCACTCAACAGGAGGTGGACAGGTTCGCCGAGCAAATCCTGTGAGTGCTAGTGTGTGGGTGGTGTGTGTATGTGTGTGTGTATATGTATATGTATGTGTGTAAACTAAAAACTAGGGGACTCAGGCAACTCAATATAAATAAATGGTAACAATAATAATATTATGACTACGGCCCTTTTGGCCCAACAATATAATAATGTGAAGTATAAAAACAATACAAGTAGGCAGTAGCTATTAGAGCTACAATACCTATATAATATATATGTAATAATAATACAATTATAAAATAAAATAATATAATAAATATAAAAAACAATACAAGTAGCTATTAGAGCTACAATATAAAAAATAGATAATACTCAAAAATTATGCATGCAAGGCCCTTGTGGCCAGGCAGAATAAATAGTATGATATATGGCCCTTTTAGCCCAACAATATAATAATAATAGTAATGATAATAATATAATTACGGCCCTTTTGTTCCAACAATATAAAATAATATCAAATATAAAAACAATATAGGTAGCTATTAGAGCTATAATATAAATATAATAATAATGATATTTGGCCCTTTTGGCTCAAAAGTATGAGCATTTAATAAATAATATAATTATAACTGTAATAATAAAAACTCACAATTTGTGGAGCGCAGACTGGCCAGCTGCTCCCTAGCTATATAAAAAATAATCACGCTCACACACACAACATGAAAGAACACAGTATAAAAATATAATATAATTAACAATAAATAATAGAAGTGGCGATTCGCGCACACGAAGTAATATAACAAATTAATGGCGATTCGCGCACAATATAAATATAATAATAATCCCAAAAGGTGGCGATTCGGGCTCACAATAATAAATATAAAAAAATATAACGTCGATTTTCACAAAGATAATAATAATAATAATAATAATAATAATAATAATATATAAAAAAAAATGTAGACGTTTGGTCTTCGCTCGACGACGTACGGCAAAAGACAAACATTTACGGCGGCCGTGCTAATTAATATCGCGCAGCCGACGCGGCGGCTACAGATAACGTGCTGATAAATTTGCATAGTGATTACCGATATAATTCAAAAACACAAAATATAATTAAAACAATAATAGCTATAAAAATAACGGCTGGTGGTCGCGAGTGTTTGTGTGTGTGTGTGTGTGTCGATCGGCTGTTCCTCCATAACCGATAGTATTTAGTATTTACATTATGATGCTGCAACAGTGCGCAACAAAAATTACATTGTTTTAAATTGTTTTTTAATTTAAAAGACATACTATACGGAGCACAGTTCATTTAAATCTGTAATATAATCGATAATCCATTACACCATATATTCACGTAGAAGTGGCACATGATTCGTGAACGGAACGACACGAACAATGAGAGGTTTGAATATCTTTAACGTATAAACTGCTCGTGTGAATATTTTTTCATGTTAAGTGCTATATACGAATCTTGCACGAAAAATCTATTCACATTTTTTTGATTACCTCCAATACAGTATGTCCTGTTGGAAAAATATGCAGTGACAATGTCATAATCATTGCTTCATTTCTTACTCTATTTATAAAATTTTCATATCTTGCGTTTTAAGTGCGCCATTTAAACAATCGATTCTTACCCGGGCATAACGTTAACTTTCAAGTTGTTTTCATGTTATTTTCATGTAGTTTTCAAGTGTCTTTCAAGCAGTCGAATTAATACATGGGTTTTAATCATTACAGCCTTAATTTTGATTTATTTTTTGTTCAATGTACCCCCCCCCCCACTGTTTTTATTGATGTGAAACATTTATAGACTCACGTAAAACCGATTTCTGGCGTGGCGACGCGTCACCACGTTATATGATGGTGTATATATACAGTGGTTAAAGTGAGGGGGGACGGAGGGGAACGGAGTCCCCCTTCTTATTTACCGTGAGATTATGCGTCCCCTTTAATTTAAGTCTTCTAAGTCCGGGGGGACGCTACTAAATTGTAGTAATGTATTAAATGGCTTACGCATACACACACACACACACACATCGATTAATCACACAATTTAAACGTATTTTATTTTGCGTCAATGATCTCCACGTTTCTGAAGATAGGGGCGCGTGCAACTAACGATTATTAAATAATAAATTATAGTGACTAAAATAGTGTTTAGTGGTGTCCACGGTCTTAGAATATAATATCTTCTAGACCGTGGTGGTGTCTAATTATAGATACACGGTCGCTCGTGTAGATAGTCTGATAACACGTACACGGGCTGTACGTAGAAACATACGAACGCGGGAATACCGCTTAGCGAGACACACAATAGTCAATAATATAACATAGATCATAATTCATAATACTATTGATATTTATTATTTAACGCTCTAATATTGATGTGATATTGAGAATGGCTGTAATAGTGCGTTAAACGATTGTATCTATACCTAATGACTAATAAATAATATTATTATAGTTAATAATTATATAATTAATAATTTTTTATAGTTAATAGTTACCATCAGTTAGTAAGTTTTCGTTTTTTGTTTTTGGTGTTACCTATGGTGTACTTTTCACAAGTTATTACGATATAATATATTAGGTAAGTTGATAAGTTTTAATAATTTATATTTTTATTGAGGATCTTTACAATTAAAATAAATATATTTTAAACCACATTTTATAATTTATCCTAAATTAATTTCATTGGTAAGTTTGTTAATTTTTATTGTGTGATACCTAGTTTTTAATTTATACAGAACTATATTATGGCTGGTCTACTAAAATACAAATTCACCAAGACCAAAAAGACTGGTGGTAGTGAGAATGTTGAACAAACTATTCAAAGTCCATGTACAGAAAATATGGTCTCTTCTGTCAAAAAATATGTCGCTGAAATACCAATAATACCAGACTCCGAATCAGAGTTTCCTGAATGCTGGGATTTTAAGCAGGTAGATATAAGTTATTTAATATGAATAGGGTAGAGGACTTATAGTAGTTGTAACTCTAAAAAGTCACCAATTTATTTATTTATTTAGTATATTTAAGTGTAATATTTAAATATACCTACAAAATAAATTAATAAATCTAATTGCTTATGAATAAAACTTACTAATTGAATGTATAAACAATGAACTACTTACTTTATGCAATGTTGCTTAGGTTTTATAAATTTCAAAAAAGTTGTTACTTTTACAGGTGATATACAATTAAGTTATATTTAGTATTTAGCACCTAACAGTAATTTAAAATTAATATATTTTTTTAAATTGTTAAGTAGGTATATAAAATATTTATTTTACAAATTCCTTTTATTATGTACAATTTAATATAATAAATTATAAGTATTTAATAAAATATAGTACCTATCAAGATATAAACATAATATAAAAATATTTAAATCTCTATCAAGATGTTTAACATACCTTTTTTGCAATTTAAGATTGTAAGGTATAAACTATTAACTAAGTTTGGATATTAATTATTAGTATAATGTACCTATAGCATATGAATACATTTAAATAAATATTATTATCAAACTGTTAAAATGTCTGTTCTATTTTTTAGATAACTTATTTTACTAAAGAATATCCTTGGATTTATTTTAAAAATAAACATATTGGATGTAAGATCTGTAGAGATGTAAATCAAAATTTATTAAATCAAAAAGGATCACATGTGGCGTCTGAATGGTCTGATGGAGAAGTTTATCCATCAGGTTGTACATTAGAAAAGAAAAAAACTAATTTAAGAAAAAAAATTTCTAAACACAAGAATTCTGCTGCTCATTTAAATGCACAAAAAGTTGTATTTTTGTCTGAAAAAAAAGTTATTGATGAACATATTTCGATATTGATGGTGACTGATCAAGAAAATACTGCAAGAATATTTCGCACAGCTTATTTAATAGCTAAAAATCAACGCCCTTATACAGATATGCCAAAACTTACAGATCTTCAAGAATTAAATGGACTTGATATGGGAAGAATACTTCAGACTAACGTATCATGTTCTAATATTATTGATCACTTGGCCTTAGAAATGAGAAGGAAGATTGCAATGGACATTGTGAAAAATAATAGAAAAATTTGTATTTTAGTTGATGAATCCACAACAATAAGTAAAAAATCCATGCTAGTTATATGTTTACGTTGTGCGGTTGGTGAACTTAATGAAGTATACACATTTTTGTTTGATATTGTTGAAGTATCAAATACTTCAGCTAGAACTATACAAGATTCTATATTACAAGTGTTGGAAAAATATGGTATGGATACGGATTTTTTGAAAAAACATTTTTTTCTTTTGTAAGCGATGGAGCTTCAAACATGTTAGGCCGCAAAGCAGGAGTTGGTGTATTGTTACAGAAAAGTTTTCCTCATATTATACTTTGGCATTGTTGTAATCACCGTCTGGAACTTGCTGTTGCGGATTGTTTAAAAGAAGTAAGTGGAATTAATCATTTCCAATCATTTATTGAAAAATTATACTCACTGTATCATATGTCACCAAAAAATATGAATGAGTTGAAAGAATGTGCTAATTCCATTGATCGACAGTTATTGAAAATAGGTAAAATATTTACAATTAGATGGGTAGCTTCAAGTCTTCGAACAGTAAAAGCTGTTTGGAATAACTTTGAATCTCTTTTTCAACATTTTTCTAGTGCAATTATAGATGATCAAAGGAGCTCTAAAGAAAAAGCAAAGTATGTTGGTTTGAAAAATACTTTAAAATCCATAGAATTTGTTCACAACCTTGGAATACTGTTTGATGCGCTGACAGAATTATCAGATTTGTCCATTCAGCTCCAAAAAAGAGATCTATCTCTTATGGCTGCTCATAAATTAATTGAACGGACCATTTGCGTTTTGGAATCTATGGCTAATAAAAATGGTGAAAAAACCAAAGAAGTAAATTCTGCTTGTGAACAAAAAGAATTTCAAGGCATTATACTAGAACATAAACATTCTGTGGTAAAAATTGAAATCGGCCAATTTTTTAGAAGTTTGTCTGATAATCTAAAACAAAGACTTTTTACTACACAATCGTCTCATGTATCAATTTTAGATAAAGCTGATCCTTATAAGGATTTATTTAATAATTTATTGATAGATTTAACCATGCTTTCTCCAGATAATTGGCCTGATAACTGTGATGTGCAGTTTGGTGATATAAATATAAGCCGTTTGTCTAAAATACTTCAAATTGATCAAAGAGCCAGTGTACGAGGATTTCGTGAATACAAAGTATCTTATCCTTCAGTCAATATAGACATTGAACCATTAATGACCGCTGTAAAGACTTTGGCTATTTCTTCTGCTGAATGTGAACGGTCCTTTAGTTCTATGAACGAAATTGTTTCTTCAACAAGAAGTGTGTTGACTAGTGATCATATTTCATCGTTAGCTTTCATTAACTGTACTGGACCACCAATTGATAAATTCAATCCTAACATTTATATTAAAACTTGGATATTATCAGGGAAAAGAACTGCAGATGAACAATGTTGTCCAAAAAGAAAAAAGAAAGATGTAGAAGAATCTTATACATCTTTATGGTTATGTTTAGATAAATAGTTACACATACTGGCTATACTGTATACTTATACTTATAACATTTGCATAGCTTATGTCGCTTATGATACCTATGTTATATGATAATATTATAATTTAAATAAATAATTTTTTATTTGTTTTTTTAAAGAAATGTTTAAAATTAAAATGTAAACATATTTTTTTTAACATTTTAGGCAATGAATTGCAATTTATTTTTTACATTTCTTAGCAGGCATTATATATTTTAAAATTTAAATCATTTCCTTAAGAGAAAATTGTATTTTACATACTATTCACAAAAACTTTTTATGAACAAATTACAAAGGTGTGTGAAAGAAACAAATTATACTATGTATGTACTATATTATGTAGTGGGTTTCTTAAAAAAATTTTGTTAGATATAGACTTTGGAAGAACACGGGAACGCTCCTCAATTTTCAGTGACTTTAGTCCCCCCACAACATTTTTCCCACTTTAACCACTGTATATATATATATATATAGTCTATAATCTATATGCAGTCGTGTGTACAGTGTGGCGACGCGTCGCCATAGGCAATCGACTGTGCGATTCTCTCCCACTCGATCTGGCGTTAAGCCATCTCTCTCGCTACACTGAGCAGAGCTCAGTGAGCTCGGATAAC